TTGGCTCATGGGATTGTAGGCTATGAGAACAGATGAGATCAATCTGAGTGCTACAGAAGTGGGAAAGTAGGTCATGCACTTACTTCCACCTCCTTGAAATATAGGCTATTTAATCTAATGAAATCTGAGAGAGATTATTCCTGATGGACTGGCTCACAGGAAGCATTGGGGATGCTTGGTTATCACAGGCAGAGGTCTCACACAGACTGGAAGATGATGAAGAAAGGATGGGGTTCTGCTGATATATGAGAGAAGCAGTGCTTTTCGGCCAATTCACTGGGCATGATGGAGCACTGGGCTGTGCTTACAGAAGAGGTCAAACATAAAATGGTTGATTCACCAGGGACTTCAGGACTGATGTTTGCCATTAGTGCCTTTGCAGAACTCCATGGGAGAGTGTGAACTTGTAGAAACACCTAACATTTTAAGGAAAGGGTAAAGTGTTATGTAACAGTTTTCCTTTTTATGACATGAAATAGTTTTCTATTATTTTTGAGATTATTATTACATTACTTTCTCCTCTCTTTCATCCTTCAAACCCTCCCAATACTCTTCCTTGCTCTATTTCTAATTAATGACCTCTCTTTTCATTAATTTTTGCTACATGATTATACATATATATGTGTATGAAAAAAATATATATCCATATAGTTTTATTTCCTAAATGTAAACCAATCATTCTGTATAGCTAGCATATATGTTTTCAGAAATGACCCTTTGATATTGAATATCCAACTGGTGTACTCTTCCCTGGGCAGGACTATTTCATTAAGTCTCAAAAAGTTCTATGAAAAAAGAGAAGAGGTTCATAATATCCAGCAATGAAATCATTGCTGGGAAAGCTGAAACTTACAGGATTAACAAGGCCCTTCCACTTCCAAGGTTAAATGGGTGATAACTAAGGAGAACCAAAGAAAGGAGACCCTCTGTCCCATTCAGCTGCAAACAAGTCATGCAGACACATTCAGAGTTCTAGTCCTCATGAGTCACCCATTCTAATGTGAGCCTTTGTGATGTCACACATTAGAGTTATTCATATTCCTATAGGTAATCCCATACCTATACTCCTGTATTAACCTCA